CACCTGCAGCCCGATGGAAAACATTGTAATATTAATTCTGAGATTGTTGCTAGGTTGGTTGCTAGGGGTCTTAGCTAAACTGGTAATAAAGTGTTGAGGTTGGTGGAGCCAGAGGGATGCTGACGTGTTTGTGGTGTTTCTAAGGTGGTTGCCAAGATGTTCTCAGTGTCAGAAGGTGGATGCTTCTATGTTTTTACCAGATTTCTGCTAACATGCATCATACATGGAGCCCTGACGACGTGTTGGATCAAAAACAACCAGAAGAAGAAGCAGGACACCGACGGTCCAGCGTGACAAGAGAACTACAGAGAAAAAGCTGGAAAGTTTCCCGTTTCCTGTCTTCGTCCTTCTCCTCCTGGTTAAACAGCACATGATCCAGCATGGCCTCGCAGCGTGTTCGCTCGTCTGCACGCCGACGGCTGTTTGCATTAAAGGCTCTGCGAGTCTCCTAATAAACGATGTGATTGGAGTGCTGTAAGTTATTGCTCCTGCCTCCCGCCAACAGTCACATAATTTAACATGGACCGCGAACTGAGGAGACAGATTGATGAAACCATCTGGTCCACTCACTTTCTCTGAGCCCGGGCACCAGCTTGAAAATGATCTCCTCCAGAGTGTTGTCCAACCTGGGAGAAGGAATTAAAGAAGAGTTAGGAGTGAGGAAATAGGTGATGCAGGAATAAAAGGAGAGAAGAGAGAAAAAGCTAATAAGACCAGAGCGGAGCAGGCGGATGGAGGGGAGCTAATGTGTCTGAGACGAATGGAAAGTGTTGAAAATGTCATTTTTATGAAGACAGACTCATAATAAAGACATATGCAGAAGAAGAGCTCAGCAGGAGGAGAGTCCCTCACCTGAGCATCTCCAGCGGGTTGGTCTCGTGGACCTGGATGCCACACTTGGGACAGTCGTTGCTCTCCTCAAAGTGCTGCACGATGCAGCTCTTACAGACTGCAGAGAAACAGCAGGACGGGTTCATGTTAGTGTCCCTGCTGGCTTTATGGAGAATAAAAGAAGGAGATCATCCCGGAGCAGAGCACAGAACCAGCCTGTTGCTTCTTCATCAAAGTTTGCTAATTAGCAGGTTAGCTCGCCTGCAGAGCGCCGACGCTCCGAGCAGGTTGTGTTCTTTTATGTTACTGGTGTGTTTTATTTCTATTTTTTTGAGCAGCTAATTAGATAATTCTCTCACAAGCTTGTAAACACGCTTTGCTGGCAGCCGACCTACAAATTGGTTGGAAAACTGTCGTGTTTAATTCATTTTGCATGAACCGTAATTGTGAGCAGCCAAGTGGAAGAAACACCGACGCACAAATCAGAACCAAGAGATATCTGAAACTCCTGACAGCAATCTACGACCTGACAAAGAAAGGATCTGCAGGTGTTTGCTCGGTCTCTCTCTCACCTGAGGGTTGGACTGAGTTTGACGTAGCCAGACCTTCTGAAACCTCAGACCCCCGTCACAGAAAACAGAACCACGGCAGCTATATGCTCGTCAGTTGTCCTCATCATCTAGTTTTTCTGCTTCATATTCTCTGAAAACTCCCATAAAATTGGCGTCATGTGACTCTTCTTCTGCACAAAATGGACCAATCGTGTGTCGCCTTGTTCGGCAAAGAGAATGTGTTCTAATGGAGATCTATGAAGGATGTAGAAACCTTATAGAGGCATCCTGGTAGAAAACTGTTCATCATGTCAGTCATATAAAAATGTATTCACCTCCTAGCGACTCTGGATGCAGTCAGGTGTCACTTTAACTTTGTCCAAATCAAAGTGAAAATTCTGGTTATTGGCTGAATATCCTCTGTAGGAAGGAGACCGCTGTAACCTTGAAGCGGCGCCCGATGAAAACTCTAATTAGCTTTTTGTATTTGAAGCAGTTTCTCAATCTGTGCTTGTTTTTCCCACTCAGCTGCTCAACACCCTGAACAATGTGATGTGAAGCAGCATTCATGTACTTCCTTCACACAGCGTGTACACTCGACGTATCATCGCCTCTAAATGACAATACGCTCATCTCATCCTACTAATGTCAGCCTCCTCGTCTCCTCGGTGCTCCGTCCTCCTGCCTGTGACCTGAAAATCAATCCTGGTGCAGCATCACCAAGCACGGCTTCACTCCTTAATGCACGTCGGGGATGGAGGATGAAGGAGGACGCACAGGTGTATCCTCAAAGCATTTTCTGCACTTGTGGCTTAAAAGACGCGACACGGCTAAAACACAGAGATGATGTCGGCACCAGGACTGACAGATGTGTGCATCATGTATATCACTCAGTCATAACCTCATTTTTTATTTGTGTGCTACCATTTAATGACTCTGAACTCCTCCCTGCATGTGTGGGTTAAATCAAACAGAGGAATGCATGACATCTGTTCAGTCCAGTTCTGCTGCTCTGTGAACAGAATCAGAATCAGGTCGTATCCCAGAGTTTAGCGCGAGCACTGACGGAGATCCTCCAGCAGTGGGTTCCAGATGAACAGTGAACAGACGATGCAGCCGAGCTACACGTCAGGTTTAACTGACTTTAAAAACTACAGCTCCGAGGTGAGACGTCTGATTTTGATAGATGCCTGTTGCCTCGACTCCTCTCTCCTAAGACACGAGGAGAGGAGTCGAGGAAAGGAATCAAGGATGTAGAAAGTTAGAAAAGAGATGGACTCACAGGTGTGCAGGCACTCGGTGACCGTGGTCGGTTTAATCAGGTAACCCCGACACAGGTAGCAGGTGATGAAATGGTTAAAGTCTCTCACCAGGTGCTTCCGTCCCGTAGCAGCCATGTTTGTAGTTTGTTTTTGCAGCGAGACACTGACCTGGAGTTTGAAGCTGAAGGGAAAAAGTCACCCTCTAGCTCTGGACGGGTCAGACGTCCATTCACGACGATGACCAGTGGAAGAGTTCACCGCGCTACAGTCTAGTTTGGTTTGTTTTCAGGTTAAACTGGGTGTCAGGAGTTGGAACATCCACCAACACTGGCTAACGCTAGTCCAGGATGATGCAGACGAGCCTTCACAGATCCTACTGTGTGAAATCCTGCTCCATGCTTGACTCGAACTCTGTTTTGCAGTCAAATCTTGTTGAGGAACATCTCCCGCTCTTCAACGAACCGACGCCCGTCCGATAATCCAATCCTGTTTCAAACAAACGCGTTCCCAGAATTCCCAGAAAACACAAGGTGTGGCCGTCCTCCCTGTCGCAGTCGAAACGCCATCGTTAATCCATGAAGGGTCCGAGGTGAGACACAGACGCTCCCGCTTCATCCGAGTCGGCTCATTATGGACGGCGATGACTTTGGAACTCACAGTTAAGTCACCTGGAGAGAATAAAACACAAAGTCAGGCTTGAGCAGGAGCAGCTGTGTGCAGAACAAGAACAAAGAGCTTTAAAGACAATACAGACATGAAGGCAGTCACATACAAACGTCTGCTCGGTCACCACCTCACTCTGCACAAGCACAAAACACAACCAGAGTCATAAAGAAGCAGGTTTCCTAACAAGAAGATCAAGTGGTCGTGCAGCAGATGGTCACAGAGCTCCGGTCTCAGCATCACAGAGTCACTCTGGGGTCACACGGAGAGACGCCGAGACCCAGAATCCACAGAAAGGCTGCAGCAAGTCCTCCAACATGCAGGAAGCACCAACATCTGTGCAGAGATCTGGAGGCGTTCTCACAGACAACAGGTGTTCTCTGTCCACTGGCAGCACCACACACACAACCTCACATGACAACAAACGACAAACTGGTAGCAGCAAAAACCTTCAAAATAATCTGGACTAATTACAGCATTTAAGGCCAGAGTAGATGTTAGTGGAGCACAGCTAGGAGAAAACCAGCGATCAGACGGCTTTAAACACATCAAGAGGGAAACACAGAGCAGCGCCGATACCAGCTCTGAGCTCAGGAGGTATTTTCACACACAGTTGTCTAAACTGGTCGATAAGTAAGAAGTGTGCAGGTTTGAGTCCTGCTTGATGCAGATGTTTAAAGAAGGAAGGACGAATATTTCCACAGTCTAAGAAGAAACAGGAGAGAAGAACATCTAACAGCTTTCAGAGAAAAAAGGACTTCAGACTGAAAGGAAATCACACATTCAGCAGCAGCCAAGAGGTCAGTTGGTGGAGAGGATGGAAGAAAGTTTGGATGTACAGAGTGATGTAAAGCTTTAAAGTCCATGTCCTGGTCACACACAGCATCCACCAGTCCAGCTGCTCATCATAAAGACTCCACACACTGGGCTGAATGTCACACAGGCTGAACACCTTTTAGAACTCACAGCTGATCCAGAAATGAGCAAAGAGGTGGAGACGGAAACATCTCCGGGTCGCTGTGGTTCTGACATGTGACTTTAAGCAGCGCTACATGTGGAGCCCAGAACATCTCTCTGCACCAGGCTGTAAATGTGAACCTCTGCTGTAAATCGGACATTTAAACATGGAGGTCTGTGGGGACTGACTCGCTCTGGGATCCGGCCTCAAGTGGACATTTGAGGAACTGCAGCTTTGCCAGGAACCCATTTCCAACACGACCACAGACGTTTGTTGCTTTTAACACAAAACTAATGGATTTTCCAGGTTTTTTGTTCTTGCTCCATGAACTTCTGCTGCATGGATGTGATCAATGCTCCAAGACTTTACCAACACTGGAAAAAAAGGCAGCTCCACATGTTATAGATGTTTTACTCCTCACATTTACATGTTTCCTCTCTGTGAATGTGAGTGTGCTTGGTTGTCTGTCTCTAAGTGTAGCCCTGTGATAGACTGGTTACCTGTCCAGGTGAACCTGCCTT